GTCATTTATGGTTTTCTTTATAGTATACAAACAAAGGTCAAGCTGAATTAGTGTTATATTATTATATTATAATGTTCTTTATTCATTTGGGACATACTGTATATTCACCGGCATAATTTTCTATAACACCTGTTCTGGTCTCCCCCATCAGACTTCTGGTCTTGTCCAGGAATTGGTTGAAATGTGATCTCTTCAATCCTTAGGATAAAATTAGTGTAGTCTGAGAATATTACAAATTTTACTATGAAATGCAACTCTGGTCTATGACATAGACTGGCTTCAAGATGTGCAAAACATAAATAAAGGAAGAGAAAAGACGGTTTGGGGAATCAAGTTAAGTAAGGAGTTTATAACCAAATCTTTATACCCACGGCAAAGAAATGCATAGATAGGAAAGCTAGTGAATGATGTGCAGATTTACTGGTCCTTACTAATGATTTCAGACCTTTAATCTGTATTTTAACTACGAAGAACAGACTGTGATGACAGTACTGCAATGTATATACTACATAATTTTAATATATAAACTGTAAATAAAAGTTGACATTGGAACTGTTGTGTTCAAGCACACATTTTTCATCATTTTGGTCATTAGATGGTGATGGATGTAGACCTATAAACTGTCTAAACTGAACCTTTTAACAAACCATATGCAGTCCTATCATTTATAATAGATCTTGCTGATGGTGTCATTTGGTTGGTACCATTTGTCATTTTCCATGTGACATAATCAATAACAAGGCTTTGAAATAAACAATATGAATGTCAGTATATTATATGATTTCCTATTGCTTGGGAAAAGAAAGCACAGAAGAGAAACCCCGATCTCTCTTTTTATCAATGTAATTTTTAATACTCCATATTAATGAAAAAGTTTGGCCTACTTCTTTGTTTACATTTCAAAATAAAAATAAATACATAGATAAATAATTTAATTAATGTATCTCAGGTGCGATGACTATACCATTCTTTCAGTCATATGTGAAATATATGAGTACCAGACCTTTTTGTCTTTAAAACATGCAAAAATGCATGCACAGCAAAATCTATTGACTTGACTGCTGATTATAACACGCCCATAACACGTCTGTTTGAGTGTGATGTAATGTTTGTGTGCAATGCTGCAATGGACTGCCGTATAATCTTAATGTTTCTCTTGTCTTGAAACCTAAACTACAGAGGATTCCAGTACCTTCTCTGGATGGATTGATGGATTGATGGATTGATGGATGGATGGATGGATTCTTAACTGGCTGAACAATGAGTATTCAGTCATAGTGTTCTGCAAGTGCAATTTGTACATTTCTAAAGAATTCAGAATAATAACTATTATTAAAAATATAAGAATACAAAATATTAGCTAAGATAAGCTGTAAGACAGATGGGTGTAAAAAATACTGGAAGGGATTACTGTAATATAATTAAATATTTCACTATAGTGCATACTCAATTATGACTTAATTGTTTGTTGCACTTACTGGGCCTAATGGTAGCAATTGAGGAAAACAATATTAGAATACAGGGATGAGTTTACACATAGTCCAAGATTGAACGGAGTATTTGAAATAATCTTTCTTTCTAGATTACAAAATGGACATCAAATTTCATGGAAATCTGATCGTGCAATTTTATTTTCAGTGTAAATTGACAGTGTAATGACAACGCGTTAAATTTCACTTCAGATTTTTAACACTCGAGCTAATGACATTTATAAAGCAAGCACAAGAGGGCGCTGCATTACCTGATTTATTCTTTATTTATTTATTTAAAAAAGCTTAAAGCATAAATATAAAGCATAACATGTGTACTACGTATTGCAGATTCTCCTTTGTCAATAAATAGGCCTGAACATCTGTTATTAATGCTACAGTCTTGTCAATCAAAGTCGATGCACAGACGGATTTTTTTAAGATTTTATATAATTAACTAAAAGTATATTTCATAATAGAACTAAAAAACACTTTAGCTAGGACAAAGACTTTTACTATTAATATTATATATAAGTTAAAAGAAAATCAAAACACTTGAGCTTAATTAGATACCTTTTTGCAATTATGTAATCGCGATTCATAAATATTGAGTATCAGATACAGAGAATTGAAATTTTGTGCCTTGTAACTGATTAGTAAAACGAAGATTGAACAAATATTTTAGTTTAGGACAACTGTTACGTTATCATTTGTCGTGCCTGGAACCCTAATGAAAATTTCAATTTCGAAGTGTTAACAAAAGTAGACAGAAATAACATGCTTAATTACATATTTGATATTACAATGGAATTTCTATCATTGTTGTCGCTGTCATCACTGTTGTTGCTGCTTCTGTTCTGTGGATGAATGCACCTTAGGTGTGTTTTCTTTCTTTGCAGATTCTTCGTTATGAAAAGCGTTAATTAATATGTATCTGCTGAATGCAGAATTAGTCGCATTCCTCTAGAACACTGCAGCTCCGCATATTATTATTCTGGTATTTACTTTATTTGATTGCATTTCATTTCATTTTTTGATGGGCAAAAATGGCATTCCCGATAAATAATATGCATATAAATCAGATTACTTCCCATGATGATTACATATCTAAAACACCGATATTGGGTCAATTCTAAATAGCCGATAATATTCGATAATAATCACCTGTAATAAGTACCTCTCCACCCAGGAAATATACTAAAATAGAACTAGAGTCTCCCGCCTCCATATTTCATTTAATGATTAGGGACGCACTTGCCTGCAGTCTACATACCATGCAGCGTTATTCGCTGCTCATCGCGGCAGAGTCAACACGCGATTATCTGTTTCGGTTCTTAACGGTATTTGTCCACAAAAAAGTATGTTAAGTGCTTTTTTTTTACGTTTGCTTAATTACTAAGAAAAGATTAATATCGGTAGCCAAAATTCTATTCCTCTTTTAATCTCTACCAATATTTCACGAGACATTCAAATTAATGTGTTGATAATGCATTGCCCACATATCATATCAACATTAAAATGAGCAATTGCGTGCATAATATATGCATACTGACGTATACATTACATAATTCTTAATTGAGATGTATTTTTAAAGACATAACTATTTTAAATAAGAAATACTTTTATTAAATAGTATTGAATATTCAAACAAGGCTACATGTGTCCGCCTCAGTACATTTAATTCTAAATATATAAATCGTTTGACGCAAAGTTCTTTCTAGGTAAACATAACCTATTTGCTTTGTCATATCATGTTTTCGGTTTAAAAAAGTATTTCTTAACCTACAGGGGACGCCAGTTTCACAATGTTTATATACCAACGGCGCTTTTAATAGAAGAAATGAAATATAACAGATTTATATAAATCATGCATAGGCCTATACATATTTTAGCGTTATATAAGAGATGATCAGTTCTACTGTTTTACTGTGCAAAGGCAATTCTAACTCTGTAATAATAATAATAATAATAATAATAATAAACAGAAAGCAGAATTCAACATTTGAATTGCGTTTAATGGTACGAAATAAGAAATTGCGTTCATATATTGAACATGAATAGAACAAATTTAAGTGTATAATATTAAATTCACATTTTATTTCCTGTTCGATAAATGACCTATTGCACGCGTGTTGAGTGGCTCCTTAAACAATGCTTTCCGTTGCCTGGCCCCTGGCTCATTAGCTGCAATTATTATTTTTTAGATATATTTTCGCCTATCTGACACAGCAAAACAATCTCGATCGAAGGACATGTATATCAGATTTTGCTGATCGCCACACAAAAGTAACGGTTTGAGTACAAATGTAGCAGCGAAGTGAACCCGTTTCGTTTATTTCCCGTATTTTCGTTAGAAAATACAAGCACCATTATTGATCACGTGTTTTTTAAACAACTAAAACGTAAACTAGGCTATAAGTAAATGTGTAACTATAAGAATGCGGACTAGTTCAAACAGGCTAATGTCTAGTCAAACAAGGAAATGTACATTTTATTTAATTACAAAGGGAAATAAAGCTTACGTGCACATGGGGTGAGGACAAAACTTTGACGCTACATTACGATCCACGATCAACATACAACTTTCTGTTATTCTTGTAGGCCCCGAATGACAAATAAAAAACAAATAAATGTTTTATCACCTTTTTATTCCTTCTTCTTTTTTCTTTCATTTTTCGCAATTCGGCCCAGTGAAAGGATCAGCATCATGATAGTGTCTGTAGCCTATAAGAACACATTAAAACAATATGGTTTAGTTACATCTAGGCCGATTTTTGCTGCTAAGTGTTCCGGTTCACTTTCTGAATGGTAAAACTGGCTCGGGACTGTGATTAAAGTAATAAAGTAATAAACACCGTGTTTAATGATAATGAGTATAAAACTACTAAAATAATGAATGCATGGTACATTTAAATATACAGACTGAAACGCGCAATGGCTTATGAGAACAACAAATCCCGTAATAAGTAAACATCACATCGGCTCCAAAACATTTCAGTTGCTTGCTCTTAACATATTTAAAGTTTGTTTGTTAGGCATGCTTAAAGTTCTCTTTATGTTACGGATAATATCATCAATATGCTTGCCTATCTATCTATCTATCTATCTATCTATTAAGAAGTGCAAAATCACGTTTATCTAGGCCTATATTTACAATTAAGTCTATACATTAACGGTGTAATACTTTTTTATTAAAAATACAAATATTTTGAAAAATAACCACTATAAACACAACCAGTTTACACTAATCACTAAATTCCAGCGATGTGTCTACAATATTTCTACTAGCAATCATCCGAAGCCAATGTCCCTTTGAAAAAATTGCTCAGTGTCTATTTGCTGTCTAATTGGACTATACAAGGCCAATAACACTAGAATGTATTAGCTAACAGTCAAAGCATGAAGTCTGAAGGCGGACTTATTGTAAACGCTCTCTCTCTCTCTCGCTCTCTCTCTCTCTCTCTCTCTCTCTCTCTCTCTCTCTCTCTGCCCATCCCTTCCTTAATCCCATTTGCCATTGTACGTGCCCAATCGCCGTATACTCTCCGCATTTAACTTGGATGACATTTTTATTTCATCATTAGCATCTGGCGCCAGACTGACGCAGTGAACACTGTTACATTTACACCGAAGATCTTCACATGACCCGGACGGAAGATTGATATTACTTTTTTGGTTTTTATCTGAATTTTTGGTCGCTCTTGTCACCTTTATCATCAACAACGAACTCGGCGCCTACCGAACTGAACAACAACAAATAACAAGCATAAAATACTCTTGCTTTTAGTCGTTCTGCTCTCGTTTAATTTCGTACTTTTGCGTGGTACTTGTGGTCTGAGATATTCGGACCACGAAACATAGTGGCAATGCCCGAGACAGTGCAAGATAGCTGTACTGGGGCTAAAGAGTCTCCGTTTTTCATTAAGAACCTTCTGAACTGTGATAGCAAACCCTCCAAACCTAAGCCTTTCCTTACCTCGCCAAAAGCCTTGGAGGCCGGCATTTCAGTCTCTCAGGTCGGGGACTTAAGTTTTCCTCGTTTTGAGTTGCCTACCCAAAGATTTACTTTACCAGCACACTACTTGGAGCGAGCCTCGGCATGGTGGTACCCCTATACTCTCAACTCATCAAGCCATCTACACCGGGCAGACGGTAGGGTTCAGTCGTCTTAGTTTTACGATACGTAGAGTAATGCATGTATAGAAATATGATGTCATCCCAGTGATTGTTAATCATTAAGTGCATAGACCTCCTCGAGTCGCCTATACGTGGCAACAAATGAAGACCTTAACAGTGTATCTAGACACCGTCACGTTGATAACAATTCTGGCTTGTAACCTAAACATTTATCTAGGCTATTCTGTGAAAAGTGGGCTTCACTGCATGTGAATAAAATGTAATATTCATTCCTATTAACAAGTAGTGCTCCCAGATTTCGAGAATGTCAGTTACTTTATAATTTTGTATGTATATATTAAGTAGAGAATGGCATGCTTTATCTATGAAGTAAATGACATGCTTAACCTTAGTGATAATAGGCTAAGTTGCTTTATCAAAGAGCAAAAATTATAAAGATGAGGTCGTATTTATTATTAGCATTTTTTTAAAGTACGCCTTTCTCATTTTATTTGTGCCTTAGTCGGTACTACGGCTGTGGCCGCTTTGTTCTGATGTTTTGAAATGTTGATAAAATGCGTATGTTTTGCCAAAAAAAAATGTGTGATCGCAATAGTTGTAACAGAGATTTTCCATCTCAATTTTAGTTGCCGAAAAGGCAAACGTAAGAGACTCCTCTCCAGCCTCGGGTACTGATCGAGATTCGCCAGATCTGATGCTCAAATCCGACCCCGACGCCAAAGAAGACGAAGAGAACAAAAGTGCCGATGAAATAGTTTTGGAAGAGAGTGATACTGAAGAAGCAAAGAAAGAGAACAGTGTGGATGACTGGAAAAAAACAGAGGACAGTCCGGATAAAAAACCGTGCAGGAAAAAGAAAACGCGCACTGTCTTCTCTAGAAGTCAGGTGTTTCAGCTGGAATCTACCTTTGACATGAAACGCTATCTGAGTAGCTCGGAGAGGGCAGGGCTAGCGGCATCCCTGCATCTCACAGAGACTCAGGTTAAGATTTGGTTCCAGAATAGAAGAAATAAGTGGAAGAGGCAACTGGCTGCCGAGCTGGAGGCGGCCAATCTGAGCCATGCAGCCGCACAGAGGATAGTGCGCGTGCCTATTTTGTACCACGAGAACTCGGCCTCTGAAACGGGGAATTCGTCGGGCAACGTGCCAGTTAGCCAGCCTCTCCTCACGTTTCCCCATCCTGTGTATTACTCACATCCTATAGTTACCTCTGTACCACTGTTGAGACCTGTTTAACATGCTTTATATGCGCGTGTGTGTATGGGTGTGTATGCCTGTGGGTGTGTATGTATGTATGTATGTATGTATGTATATATGTATGTGTGTGTATATATGTGCATTGTAATGGACAAGGAAGCGTAACATAAGCAAGACTACTATTATTATAGTTATTATTTTTGTACAAAAGTAAAATTAATTAATGAATAAGGAGTTTGCTTTCTTACGAGTGGAAGCCACAATTTTGGTGTTTTGGTTTTCGATAATTTTTTGAAGAACGAATTGTAAACACATGTGCCAGAAATTATAATTGCCCTCCTCCTTTTAATAATCATATCCTATTAATCATATAATAATCACATAATAATAATAATAATAATAATAATAATAATAATAATAATAATAATGTCCGTTTCATGGGGGAACGCTATCTTGGTTTGCAGAGCAACATTCAGTTCGAACGGAATTAAAATCAATAGACAATAGTGATTTTCATTTTTTCATCTAAAAGTATCTCTATTATAAATTTCTTAATATATCTTACAGTTTAATTAAATTGCTAAATTGGTTGGATAAATTATTTCCCCCATATACCTGGTTATTTCTATTGTTCATATCTACGTTTAATAGGGACAATTTATGTTAAAGCAATCTAAGGTGTACAACATGCCTGTATTCGAGAAATCGTTATGAAATGGACTTGTTTTGTGGGTTAAATGGTTATTTTTCTATTTGTGCAATATTGTCAGCTATCGCATTGTAAAGTGAATAGTGCATCATTGTATTATTATTTTTATTATTATTATTATTATTATTATTATTATTTGGCAGAATAGATTCACTGAGTAAGGAAAATATTTTCAGCACTTACGTTGTGTCACTTTCAGCTTACATTCTTCGCATATTGAAGCGCTTTAACGGTGGGACAATCAAGCTTTTTTATTGTATAAACTTACTGAATGGGTTACGTGTACTCAATCTGTTTTATTAATATTTGGATTTTACTTGAACACAATCATCAATTGATCATTTTAATTGATGGAATGTTGTACAAACGTAGTTGTACATAATATTATCTAAATGAGTTTGGGAAATGAGTTTGTTACTTTGTAAAAATATGAACACCTTTTGATATTGTATCGTTACCTTGATCTATGTTGTGAAATAAACATTCCTTATTCCAAAAAGGATTCCTTACTAAATAACGTTATCGGGCGTCTCAGAGCATGCAAATCAAAGCATTTTCATTCCTTTAGCTGTGGATTCTATCTTTCTTTTCTTCGTTTGTTTACTACTAACTGTTGTTACTTCATGCGTAGCAGGACAATCTGCATGTAAGGTTTCAAGTATAGTTTGAGCTATTGAACTTTCGATATTTATGTATATAGAAACTGAACTTATGCCCAAAATATGACTTATTTGGCAAAGATTTCCGTTTTTTTACCTTCCTTTTTCGACAAACCTTTTAAATTAAATAACTCGGCAGTAAACTAAACTGGCAGTAACTTGAAGTAAAAAAAATGATAAAAATAAAAAAAATAAGACAATTAAAAATGAAATGAAAAATGTAGTTTTTCTGAATGGAGACACTGGTCCTCCAATGGTCTTCCACGCGAATTTTTTCACAGTTAAAATTAACGTCGTTAGAGAACAACGGTGTATTACATTCTTTCTGAGTTACGCTTATGCACAGATATTAGAGTTTATTAATAAGACACTGAGGGATTTAGTAAGATTTTTTCTCACTAGTTATTTGCAGTCGATTTTATACTTTAAATTTTATTCTGGCGTACATCTATTCGTGCGCTTCATGTGTTTATGTTATTAGAAAAGGTCAGTTTCGCCAATCAAGCAGTTGCAATATCTAATAAGTACAATTCAATAATTAATGTTAATATGTTTGATATTAATATTCACATATGTAATATATAACTGTCTAAATATGATGTTGGCATAATTTAACATTGAGTATCTTGCTGGATGTTTTATTAACACTATGTTAAATAAACAAGAATTAATTCAAATTAATTTTAAGCATATTTATTTCTGCCATCCACATTACCCCTAAATATTGATAGTGAAAGATTTAGGCTTATTAAATGGTTTAGGATCAACAATGTCACCAGGTAAACTCTTATTAAAAAAGTAAATCGTCAGTGGCATGATTAATCAACGTAAGCTCGGCGCGCTTTTTGTTTTCAGTAGTGCCATTAGGCCATCTCGGCTATTTAGTTCGTTCGTAAGCTAATGGGGAACAGCTGCATTTAGCACCGTCAACCATTTACCCTTTAGAGCATTATTTTTCATAAAAATGATTTAGCCAAACAAATGGAATAATTGTTGTGATCTTGCGGCAGTTTAAGAGCGGCAGCATTTTGTTTGAGTGTAGGCCTATGTATTAGGATGAGGGATCAGGAAGTGTCCTGCTATTATCATTACTTTCTTAGAGTGATGTATACAAAATATTAAAATATAATTCAAACATAATAAGCACGGCCACCGTTTGGATAGTGTGTCACATATGAACAACACTGATGAAACAGCCTAATTAGCTGAACTAATGATCGATTATAGCGGGATGCCACATGGAATAATTTCCGTTAGTAGCCTATAACACTCTTTCACCGTGGTCTTAATTCTATTTTTTAGGAAAATGAGTTCGTATCTCGAAGGTTCTTAGTTTGCACGTTAAATTAATTTAAGGGATGTTTTTTATCCAAAGCGGTTTACAATTTACGCGATACGAGCTGCCGATTTGGAGGCGCAATGTTTTACTTGTTGAGCACCGCCAACTTACACTCACTAAAGCAAAATTTAAACGTGAGACCATTTACAAATTAAAACTATTAAACCGAACATATTTCATCAACTTTTAACACATTTGATCTAATTTTTGATGGCCTGTCTGAGTCTCGATTTAACGGAGAACCCATAGCCTATATTTCAGTCAATTATTTAGAAATCTCATAAATAAATATTATTTTAGTATCTAATCATATTTCAACTTGCTATTTTATCTTTAGATTTTGAAATATTTTTAATAAAGTTATCGAAAAATTTATGTCAGTATTTACTGTACTATATTTATTCTTCGTATACAATATATCATATATCACATGCATATGACAGTTGAAACTTTTGACCAGACTAATTGCAGATCCGAGAAAAGTTATATAGGCCTTTCTGGGTATGTATGTATATATGTTACATATATTTATGGTTATAGATACATGTATGCTCGTGTGTTAGCAAGCAAAACATGAGGTTCTTTACTATCATTCCTGCCATGCTCTAAAAGTTGTTTTGTATCTTAATAATAATTCACATATTAAGTATATGAAGTGCATTATTATTAATAGTAGCGGTAGATGTAGTGCCAGTAGTAGACGTAGTGCAAGTCGTAGTAGTAGTAGTACAGTGGTCGCAGTAGTAGTAGTAGTAGTAGTAGTAGTAGTAGTAGTACAGGGGTCACAGTAGTAGTAGTAGTATAGTAGTATTAGTCAGGCACGCCCCTAAACATTTTGGAATATAACTGGATTGGTTTGGGTTGATATGCTTTTATGAAGCCCAATATCTCTAGCGTCACCCCTGCATGGTAGTAATAGTAGTAGTAGTACTAAAAGTAGCAGATGAAGAAGAGGATGATGGTGATGGTGATGATGATGACGATGAAGAAGAAGAAGAAGAAGAAGAAGAAGAAGAAGAAGGAGGATTGTTGTTGCTGTTGCTTCATTTTACTTTTCAATGTTAACTGTGTTTCAGGAAGCGGGATATTCAATCGACTAAACTATACTTGCACATATTGTGAAATAATAATGACAATTCAATTTTCATGATAAAACAATCATGAATATTTTTACTGTAAAAATCAACAACAAACAAACGCATAAAGAGAAAAGTCAGTTGACGTCGCATGTAAAATGACTGTTGGCTAAGAGATTCGATACCCAACTGCTTTGACATGCTTAGAAAATACCGAAACTAGATAGATACACACATAAATAGATGCAGAGGGAGGGGGGAGGGAGAAAGGAAGCGAGCCGCTGTGTGTGTGTGTGTGTGTGTGTGAGTGTGTGTGAGAGAGAGAGAGACAGAGAGAGAGAGAGAGAGAGAGAGAGAGAGACGCAGTGCAGTACTGCCAAAGAACATGAACATTCCAATATCGCCACAATCACTTACGTATTGACTTATCTAGGATGCAAACTCAACATGAGCCCATTAAAGAGCATTAATAGTTCGGTATAGCATCATTCCACAAATAGTATTGATCGAAAAACATCTGTAAAATATTGTTTCAAATAAAGGTCATTGTCCCTGTAAAGTTTTGGTAGCATCGATGACCTAGATTTGCTCGCAGAAAGCTGGAAAAATGCGGCACTCGATAATTCCCATCTGTATGACAACTTCATGTAAAAAAAGACTGAGGAGACGACTAAAGAGAACGAGACATCGGACGTGACCAGCGGCTGCTTTGCGTATTACATTAAAATGGAAAGTTGAGTGCCTGATTTTAACAGATCCCATTATAAATTATAGTGCCAGTTATTTGTGGTTCAAGTGGGCAACAGCTTAAGTAATTTCTTTTTAACTCTTTGATTTCCATTCCCTGTCACAGATGCGAACAAACAGTGCTATACTGTCACTCGTTATTGAATTTTCTCTATAGTAAAAAAAAAATCACCATTTTAATAAAAGAGAATGTCTTTTTTAATGCAGCATGGTGTGAAGTTTGTAGTCCTGCTTATTAATTTTTGTTAAACTATGAAATTGGTATACATGAAAAAGAACAATGATTTTGTACCCCACTGAATTATATTACAGGGAGGTTACTGGTCAAACGTCTGGGAAATCCGTTTCAATTTTGTGCAGACAAATGTTTCTACTAATTAAATGATCTCTACAGATATTCTTCCACAATCAGACTGTGACAAAAGGCAACAAATTTCCGAGGCGTTAAGACATCGGTATAAATCTGATCATATTCAAAATACTTAAAGAGAGACGATAATATGCAGAACGCTTTTCGTTTTTTGTTGCTAAGTCGATATTTTTCTTAAGTAAAGCAATACGATATTTGCGTACATCCGCACCTCCTTTAATAAATTTTGTTTAACGCCTTACAATAAGTTCTTTGGATACAGAATGCCCGATTAACATCCTGCTGTGTACAGGATTTTTCGGTGTTTTTGAAAATTGAAATCTTCTTTTGAGGAGAACCTTTAGCCTTTTGCGATAGTGATTGAATACGAGCATCAGATTTTCATCAAAGTTCTATTAAGTGAAACATAGGTTGCAGGGCACGCTCTGATTGAAACAGTTTAAATTTTAATTGTGTTTTTAATTTGACATATAGTTGCAGAGAAGAATGACACCGTAACGCCATGGGGCGGTCGATTTTCTTAATTTCCCCCCGAGGAATTGATGAGTCTATCAGAGCAGTAGATTGGAAACCCATTAAAGCTCAATGGTTAGGTTGTTAATTGGAACTTGATGGATAGGGGCCTTTGGATAGACTATACTGATCCAATCTTCTTGACTTTCTGTTTTCCAATAAATTACCCAATTCATTTCAAGCCACAGATTACATAAATTGTACACCTCCAGGGCGCTGCCCTGCCCGACGCGGCCGGGTTTTTGCTTTCTTTGCTTGCGGCCCTTTCCTGGACTCGTGCCATTTGAACCAAACATTTTTACGGGTTTCTCGTGTAACTATCTAAGCTTTAAGTCTTCACATACCCATTAACGGTATACGTCATTTTAATATAGGCCTAAGTTTGATTCCAAGACTCTTTTTTATATAAATGTATCCGTCGTCTAATAAGAAACATTGAAATTAATGTCTTATCATTGATGAACACGAATAGGTAAGCTATTTTTTTTTTAGCCAGAATCATGTCTTCTACGAGTTTCATTAAGTCGTAAACTAATACGGACCTGCAATATGCGCAAAAAGAAGTCAGTCCTGATCTGGCATTCACGAGATAAAGTCGTGTGTAAAGTGCAATTTTGAAATGTGTTTTCCCCTCATGCATAATTAAATACTATGGCATTAGCTAAAAGTTTTATGCAGTACCTTATAGCCTTTTGGGTATCATAAAAATCTCCAAAACACTGTCATTTAACTCGCTGTTCTTATTAAATTACTTAGTTTGAAAATATATTGACTCAATTGTTCAACTCAGGCATTTTTTACACCAAACGTAGCCCGAGATGTTTCAGAATGCTCATAATAGTAAATCGTGAGTAAACAAAAGACGTATTTTTTAGTCTTGATACGTTGCGTGTTCCACGCTAATTATTTAAATATAATTTCATGCGAGGTTACGGTCATACTATTTTAAGCACATCTGAAAGTTATGAGTTAAAATGCCGACACCGTGCTGAATATTTATTATATGCGCTAGTTTCTATGGGAAGAAGTAAAAGTGATAATATATTACAAGTGCCCACCCCACGCTGCACCTGCCCCCCAGACATGAAAAGGGGTGGGAATAGACACGCCCCTAACCAATCAATTAGTCAATCAATTAGCAGGGCTGCCACCATGTGTCTGTGGAGAAAATACATTACTCTTGTAATGATAAAATTAGTTCTTAATTGGAGGTAATAGACGTGCTTCATGAACGTGACTTTTTCGGAATGCTGATGGGTGGCGTTGCATTATGCCAATTTTTCAACATTAGGCTTTCTTAGAAAACTTTTCATAACGATGGGACTATGAATTCCAAGAATACAAAAGGATTCCAATAAAAAAAATTGGCAAACTAATAAGTAAAAAAACAAAATGTAAATTAAAAGACGAGAAGAACTTTCATAACAAATCGTGTTAGATTAGTAGTTAAAACCCATTTAACTACTGAATAAAATAAAAACTTAATATGCGCCAGGTATTATATGGTTTTATTACGGAGGGATCAAGAATGTAATATGTTAAGCTAAATTAATGTTTATTTTCATATAGGGAATAATGTTTTATCATGCGATACACATCCAACAATCCATTTACAAACGCGTTTATTGAGATGTATATAGGGCTTGAAAAGAACTGGATAGATTTTTAATTTTGCAAATTATTTGTACCTGCAGCCGGAAGAAATTTGATTCTTTTTTTTTTTCTTCAGTTGTGCTACATACTTTAGCCGACTGGGACAAAATGTTGAAGTTCATTAAAGAATACATATGCTCGTATACTGTCTCGACACACCACAAAGTCGTATTGAGACATACATACATATACACATACACACACACACACACATATATATGAAGGGCCTGAATCTATAATACTATATGCATTTTACAACCTGATTTATTTCACTATATACTGCCGATGCTGCTTAATAATTATTGGATTTTAAAATATTCCAAACACGCCAGTTGCATCATGGACCTGCATATTTTTATAAGTAGACTATTATTTTGCCCATTCAAATTAACCCCGTACACTTGTCTAAACCTATTCTTGAATATTTTTCTACCAGTGGCTTTCTATCCCCTGTCTTTTCAAGTTTGAAATTTCCGGGGTTCAAGTTAGGACTGTGATTGGCTCAGGAGGATCTTACCTACATGCAAATGAAGCGACGCCACAATACTGGCTTTAGTCGAGAGAGCGTGGAAGCAGGCAGAAATACATTCGTGCACCGTGGGCTCCGAGAAAAACAACTACAAAACTTTCAACAAACGTTATGAAAGGAGCATTCCAAAACATTTTTCCCTTCTGGCGTTTCTCCAGAACATTTTAGTACTTATGGTATGGTCATTTTATATACTTCTAAATTAGCTACAAGCAGGGAGAAGCATATGCAAATAAAACTTTCTTCGGCTTCGGTGTTATGAATCCAGAATGAACACAACAGAAGACAACGATAGCAAATGCTCGCCGGTCCCAATCTCCAGCTTTACTATTCAATCGATCCTAGGCACCAGATCTGACGGTGCGCGATCAGGTGCGAAGGAGAACTTCCATGGAGGGCTGCAGAGGAAGCGCCCGCTGTCCGTGTCGTCCGAGGGCGAATGCAGCGGCGAAGATTCTGCCGAGTGCTTTTGCTCTGGGTCCGGCAACAGTAACTCTTGCAACCAGCACAAGCCACTTAACTTTTCTTGTCTAAGTAAGTATACGTTAATATTAACGTAATATTTCTATATTACGGTTGTTGTTTAATTAGTATTTCCAGGAGGCTTTTTGAAAAATTGCTGTTATACATTTAAAGTGCTCTGTATCTTATTTGAGTCGTCAGAGAACGCATGAAACGTCAATTAAATTAATTTCCTCTTATTGCAAATTCAGTTGAGTCCGTTAATTGATTAAACAGGCTTTTAGAATAAATGTGTTACATTTTCTCAATTGACCGCACACCGTAACCTTATTATAATTAGTATCATACGCCTGTTAGTCCTATTATACATTGTTTTTTTTCCGCTGGGTACTTTTAACCTTTCAACAGTCTATCACACACTCAAAGCTAAAATTTAATTACCTCTTGTACAAAGTATCCAATAAAGCGTTAGAATTTAATATTGCATTTACTGAGGCCAGCGGATAAATAAATCAGTGTTTAGACATCTGAAAACATTTTACAATTCACTTAGCCTACATAACATTTATATTTTGTTACACGTTGCCCTTATTATATTACAATAGCTAGAACAGAACGTACAATATACTATATCATTGCACATAAATGCATGTTACTGCTTCAACATGATGATAACAACAAAAACAATGGCCTATTATTAAATTGCATCACTAAACATTGTAGGTCAGTGTTATATTGTGTGTCGTCTCAATATTTCACTATTGGCTGTACAAAACCTACCTATCATACTTTAATCATTAATAATTCGCGGATTACTTGTTTTTATTTTAGATGCCAGAAAAGGAATTACTCTCGCGGAAGGTGGGAAAGAACGTCTGCAGCCTCCACAGGATTACAAAGAGGAAGAGGAGCAAGAAAGACCGTGTAACCAAATGTCACCAATTTCCGAGGAGAGGCAAAGAGATGGAGCAGAAAAACAGAGTAATTCTGCGAAGAAGAAAACGCGCACAGTATTCTCACGGAGCCAAGTGTACCAGCTCGAGTCGACATTTGACATGAAACGATATCTGAGCAGCTCCGAACGAGCCTGTTTGGCTTCGAGTCTCCAACTGACTGAAACTCAGGTGAAAACATGGTTTCAAAACAGAAGAAACAAATGGAAAAGGCAGCTCTCGGCCGAACTGGAAGCGGCGAACATAGCACACGCCTCAGCACAGACTTTAGTTGGGATGCCCCTTGTGTTTAGAGACAATTCATTGTTGCGGGTGCCAGTCCCGAGATCTATCGCCTTTCCAACGCCTCTGTATTATCCTGGCAGCAATTTACCGGCGCTACCGCTATACAATCTTTATAACAAGATTGAATATTGACTTCATGATGACGTCAGCATAAATGTACAAAGGTTTAAAAGGAACATGCATAATTTTGTTTGGCATAATCTATGTATATTTATATTATGTTACAACATAAGGGAAGTATTATATATCTCTGAATATATACATATATATATATATATTAAATACACAATGTGTATATATTATTTTGTACTCTTTAATTTGGTGTTAGTCTTCACTTTTGCTGAATTTTACGTGTTATAAGCCTATAAGAATTACTAATTTAACTTGTCAAAATAATAGGCCTAATTTAATACTTGCAAAAACCAGCAACAAAATTCAGCCATCCTAAAAAGAAAGAACATCAATTTTGAGACCGTTCTTCGTAATCTATGTGAAGGCAAAATGACTATACTAATAAAAATAAAAATAGGTATGGTCTCTACATTTCCAACAGTTACACCTTACAAACTCCCCATCTTTAACTCAATAAAATCCTTTCATTCCAGCCATGCCTTTTTCTTGTGGTTTAACACTTGTTTGACGCATTAACAATGATCACTGAGGAATGGGCCTACATACCTTAGAAATATCTTTAATTTATTTTTGAAATTATCCGCATGATTTAACACAGACAGGCCAACACTTTAGACAGAAGACAGAATCTTTCCCTTACGTGGCTAAAGTATTGAATGAATAAACATATAATTTCCTGATTTTTAAAAATCACACTTTAGATGTCAAACATCATTATAACATGTCTGTTTGAATAATAATAATAAAATACTCAGGGCCAGGTGAGGATATGTGGTTTTGTGAAACACATGCACACACACATCAATCAATCAACATATCTATTTTTCTATCTATCTATCTATCTATCTATCTATCTATCTATCTATCTATCTATCTATCTATCTGTCCGTCCATCCATCCTTCCATCCATCCATCCATGGGTGTTGTTAGGTCTGATCACTTGGAGCTAAAGCCCAGAATACAGTATTTCTCCCACAACACAGAACAGCACATACTGAATAAGATACTTGGCATTATTAATGTTCGTTTATATCAGCAATCGTCGCTTTAAAACAAACATTAGCGATAGCTCGGAAACAAGTACACAGATTAAATTACACTGTAACATAAAATAGAACACAACTAACAAAATAACAAGGTTTTCTATACTATGCAATTAATGTTATAGCTGAAATTAAGTTGAGGTGGAATGCAAACAACAAGTTCTATTTTAAGTAGGCTATTTGAAAAGTATGCATGGGCCTATATATATATATATAAATCAATATCACGAGTGTTTATCTTAGTTTCGTGATGGAGCTCAGGTACACCCAGGGAGGGGTGTCAGCGCACCACAGGGCACATACACACCCCCAGTCACACAGTATACGGGCAATTTAGAGATGCCACCTCGCCTGACATGTCTTGGGAGGAAAGCCATACGGGGAAGGGAAGATACAAATCCCCACCCATCAGCCCCGGAGGTAACGAGCAACAGTACCAGCCGCACCATCGCCCACCTGTATATACGCACACACGAAAGGCAGAGAGGAAAAGACGGGTTTTAAATCCCTACGACTGAAAACTGCGCCCCTCGTGTCACATGACGGATACACTGACATCGGAAATGCTTCAGTGTTAAAGGAAGTTATACAGTAAAGCCCAAAATGATGAGTGGCGACACTGGGGGAAATTTGCGGGAGCAGAAGGAATGAGAATCATTACTATTGAATAGGCGATCTGTTTGGTTTTTGTCTTTCTTTCTTTATCATCATATTATAGCGACTCTGTCGCTGTGTCTGTAACTTCCTGGTCAGAGAAAAGCATGCTGGGAGTAGGACGGTTAATTATATTTACCAGAATTGCTTGTGTCAGACATTTATTTTATCGGATTGTTATATTTCATCTGTTTGTCTTGTGGTTTTAGTAATGCAGCAGATGTAAATAGCTGAGGGGGGGGGCGGTTAGGGGTGGCAGTAAATACACCGTTGGTAGAGCTTTATGGCTTCCTCTGTAAGGTTGTTTTTCGCCTACAGTGCTGTTTATTTGGAGAACGTGAGTGTGTTAGAGCTGTGGTCTGTTTCGACAGTGCGGGGAATCGTATAATGCAATACTAGATGCACAAATTTACGTTGAGTTTGCATTTTTAACAGTTCGACTGGATGGATTTTATTCCTGCAGAATGCATTGGGGACACTAAAGTGTAACACGCCGTCTCCAAATTATCGCTGCTGTCTAGTCAACGTTGTTAACATCTCAGACTTTATGATTTTACGAGCAAGTGATGCACAAATAGTCTTAATACTTTTGGTCTATACTGCGTGTGTCTCGGCTATGTAAATACATACCAAAATCTCTCTCGTTTTCAGGTAACAGGATCGAATGAATTGAAGCTGAAATATAGTTTTGGTAACTAAACTTTTAAATTCAAACATTAAATAGCTGTAATATGTGCCACGATCAGTAGAGTAGCATGTTGGGCTGCCTTTGACCTCCGGTCCCAGCACTGACCGCATAGATCTCACATTATCTCTAGGTGCACCAGTTTGGTCAGGTTACTCTTTTTTTCCCTCCCGTGGTCCCCAAAACAGACCAAACCATCTTTAGCTACAGTGTCCTGACATCAATATTGTATTCCTGGCCTATCATTTCACATTTTCTAAAGACAAAACGGTTGCCCGTCCAAAACCACTATATTCCCATTCCCATATCAGGTGTATCTAATCACCATAACATAAGTAAGCGAGTCTAACCAGATAATTAAGAAAACCGTAATTACACAGGTCTTTGGTATAGTCTGGGTAGATCCCTTAGATTTGTTTGTTTTATTTGCTATACAGTATCGCAAAATGAGTATTTGGGTGATTTCATCAGTTCATGCTAGCCTCATTGTCTGAGATGGTCATTAACAAATTAAACAATTGGAATCACTTGTATCTTAATGCACAATGTGAGGAAGATGAAAACTACGATTTCCAGCATAAGAGCAAAAACATGCACTAGAATTGTACTGCAAGGGACACTTAGTGTATAAATGTTAAATGTTTGTAATATTTGACCTTAATTTCTAATTGTTAATGATTGGACAGCATTTTTGTTCTATTTTTCATTCTGGTGGTAATGCTTGCTATCAACATCTTATTTTGAAGTTTCTATAATAACCTAATGAAGAATGTGATTCATCTGTTTTGGTAATTTTTTTCCCTGTAGATTTACATTTTAAAAAGTGCAGCGTAAACCAACGGCAGTGGAGCAGATGCTTTGTCCCATTCTTGCAAGTCAACTGTAGATGGATACTCTGCTCATTTCTGGGGTATAAAGTACTGCCCAGTGTCATTCTCACGGTAAATGGAATCTCTCACAGGTCAGTTTGACTCTGGGACCCAAGGGCCTCTGATGCTGCTAGATTAACACACACTGAGCAGGCTGGCTAACCTGCAAGATGAACTTAGCTAAGCAAACTTTGTGAAATCCACATTAACCCTAGATTAATCAGCTAATTTTGTTGTCCAGGCAACTGTACAATGACAATAAAAAGTCTTGAAGTCTTGATTGTAGTTAAAGTATATGCACATTTTTCAAGATGCATTTTATGTAGTTTTAAGTAGGGCAAACAATCCTGTATGTGTGTGTGTTTGTGTAAATGAATAGTTTCTTTAATTGAAATATTAGCAGGCATGACTCAACTGACACTTGTTTCTCTCTGTACTTTATTAAAACTGTTATTCTCTGTGTCAAGTTGGTGAATTTTTTTTTATGTATTATCAGTGTAGAGAATACTCATAGTGAAATCTTCATGCTTCTTTCTATTGGCATTGTTTAAAATCGTGCTGTTTGATAGTTTAATTTATGTTGTCCTTGATGTTTGTTTTAACGTCATCATTTGACTAAACAATGCGTAAGAAGATGGGCTAAAATGGGCTTGTAGTGTAGAAATATGCTATAGACTTGCCCCCTCTGTAGAATTGTGCTAGAAGGTATATCGCTGGAAACTGGTTGCTTGTCACTACTAGGAACTATAACAGAATGTGTTTTTCAGAGTGAAAACGGGAACATTTTATGAGCAGTTGCTCTGAATGGAAACCGTTCCCTAACTTAATTTTTTGACTTCCATTTGCCTGTCAACAAGGTGACTGTAAAATAGATTCTTCCTAAATAAAACTGCTTCGGAAATCTTTGTCATCGGTGAGTCATTTGTTCTTCCTTACCTGCCAAAGGAGAACGCTCAGCTTTTGTCTCTGTGCAAATGGCTACATTACACATGGCTTCATAGCTTAAAAGGCTTTCAGCTCCACAGATTGTTCTTGACCCAATTTCAGCAACAGTGCTGTGCTCCCTGTAAATGGATTGCATTAGATAACGGCAGTGATTTATGGGCAACTTTGGCACCGTCAAGGTACAGGGATGAATTTGTGACAGATAGGCGAGCGTAGAACAGCTTCTGTGAATGAAGCTGTTTATTAGTTCCACAGCGGTCATTACGCCATCAGTTTTGGCCATTATGTCATCAGTCTCCGTAATACTCTTTGGGATGGATGTTTGCACATTGTAGGGTTATGAGGATCTGCATGACCTGTCAGCCTGGGTTTCTGATTTAGAACACAAGATGATGGCACGTGGAACGTAATCCCTGGCCAACAACTGGTGTTTATAAAGAATAGTGAGTATTATGTATTGCCTAAATGGCAGGTATGAATTACAAATTTTAATAGTGGGGGCCGTCAAAATGATTTGAAGTGGCTGAACTGAAAAAGACAGTGGCTGGCATTGCATTGAAGATTTGTTGGGATGCCGTGTTGTGCTTTAGTATTAATCAAATCCACGGGTAAGTGAAAAGCAAGTGTACTTTATGGAAAAAATAATAGACGCCATAAACTCATGTCACTGATGCGCAGGTGTTTTTTCTCCATTGTGGGGGAAACATCTCAAGTATGAGTTTTTAGGCGGAAGGAGTATTTTGAAAATGATGGAGAAGATTGTACTGATTTTTAAACTTTACTCACTTTGTGAAAGGAGACAGGTTGATTGTTGAACATCATTGTATTGAGTTATGTACAACTGAGAAGAAAATACAGTTTGAACTACCACACACTGCATTATTGCCTTTTCTGGTAAGCAGGTAAGAAACTGATCAGACTATGTTGGCAACATTATCTGCATCTTATTCTGTTAATTACACTTATCATTTAACCTATTTAACAGTTTAGGACCTTTTACAAGATGTCTTTGGTGCCTTGTAATTTTG